TGAGAGTAGGATAGTTCTTTCCCCCCCTTGAGATCTGGTGGGAGGGAGTGCCACAGGGCAGGTGTAACTACCCAGAAGACCCCCTGCCTTGGCTTGGGTCATTGACACAATTGGCCCTGCATGCCCTTTCAGTTGACCTCTTTTGATTGTCTCTGCAGAGGCGGGGCTCTCAAGGGTGAAAATAATAAAGGACAGGTCTTTTAGCTGACCTGTTTTGATTGTCTCTATTATAGCAAAGAATGACAGTCTTTTCTTTCATAACCATAGAGGCTAAATAAATTCAAAAGTTCAGGAGAACTGAACTAAATATCTCTGATGTTTCAGAACTTCCGGTGGAGCGCGATCCTCCCGCAAGCGGGGATTTTGCCGGGAGACAAATCCTGTGCTATTTCGGCCAAGGAAAGGGTGCAACAGTTTTTTAAAATGCTGGCGGGTGGCAGCGGAGGCTTCGCTGCCGCCCGCCAGCATTTTAAGATCGCCCCGGACAGCGGAGAAGTCCCCCGCTGTCCCGGGGTTTTTTAAAATGCTGGGGGTGGGAAGAAAAGCCCTTGTCCCCCCCCCACAGCCTTCAGAAGAGGTCGGGGGACAGACTGTCCCCGGACCTGGTCTGAAGTCGGTTTCCATAGGAACGCATTGATTGATTTTCAATGCATTCCTATGGGAAACCGTGCTTCGCAAGACGAAAAACTCGCAAGAAGAAAAAACTTGCGGAACGAATTAATTGTGTCTTGCGAGGCACCACTGTATTTTTTGCACCATAACACTCACTTTTTTCCACCTAGAAAGTAAGGGGAAATGTCTGTGCGTGTTATGGAGAGAATGCCTACGGGTGGCATGCCTACGGATTTTCCTCCTCTAAAAACTACGTGTGTGTTATGGTCGGGTGCGTGTTATAGAGTGAAAAATACGGTACATAAAGGCTTTGGGAACGACATCTTCAGGAGTTCGTTAATAGAAATATGGGATAGGTATAAAAACCTATTAGAACCAAGAGTTCCACACTGGTTATCTCTGTTAGAAGTTATGACTGTAAAGAAAATTAATATGAGAGGTAAATGGATTACCGTATTTTTCGCCCCATAGGACGCACCGGCCCATAGGAGGCACCAAGTTTTTTTTGGGGGGGGGGAAATAAAGGAAAAAAAATTATTTCCCCCCCCCAGGCGCTTGTGGGGCCGGCAGCAGGGAGAAGCGCTCTTCTCCCCGCAGCCCGCCTTCAGACCAGGTCCGGGGACAGCGGGAAGACGCACTGCGCCTCCCAGCTGTCCCCGGAGCTTGTGGGGCACGCAGCGGGGAGAAGCGCTCTTCTCCCCGCCAACCGCCTTCAGACCAGGTCCGGGGACAGCGGGAAGATGCGCTGCGCCTCCCAGCTGTCCCCGGAGCTTGTGGGGCTGGCGGCGGGGTCTCCCCGCTGTCAGCCTCCAAACCACTTCGGGAGACAGTGGGATGGCGGTGTTCTGCCTCCCTCTGTCCCCCGACCTTGTGGGGCTGGCGCTGGGGCTCTCCTGAAGCCTGGAGAGCGAGAGGGGTCGGTGCGCACTGACCCCTCTCGCTCTCCAGGCTTCAGCGAAAGCCTGCATTCGCCCCATAGGACGCACACACATTTCCCCTTCATTTTTGGAGGGGGAAAAGTGCGTCCTATAGGGCGAAAAATACGGTACATATGGTGAATTGATAATTAAAGAAGGAGGAAAATGGAAATTAAAACCATATGAACAAGTTAGAGAACATGTTTATGATTGGTTGCATTACTTTCAGGTTAATGAAATGTTTAAAAAAGATTTTAAAGAAAGTGGTTATGTAGAAAAAGACTCAAAGTTTCAAACAGAGATAATAAACAATGACTGTAAAATACTGTCAAAAATGTATAAGATAGTGTTGGAATGGCACACAAAAGATGAAGAAGTTAAATTGGTAATGATACAATGGGCCAAGGACTTTGGTTATAATATACAATTTGAAGATTGCGAAAAAGTATGGAAGGAAAATTTAAAATTTACCGCATGTATGGTGTTAAAGGAAAATGTTATGAAAATGTTTTATAGATGGTATATCACACCGGTAAAATTAGCAAAAATGTTTAAGACGTGTAATAAGTGTTGGAAATGTAAAGAAAAAGAAGGAGCATTTTATCATATGTGGTGGGATTGTAAGAAAGTGAAAGGTTTCTGGGAGATGATATATAATGAATTGAAAAAGATGTTTAAATATACATTTGTAAAGAAACCAGAAGCTTTTCTTTTAGGGATTACAGGAAAGGAAATAAGAAGAAAGGACTGTAAACTTTTCCAATATGCAGTTACAGCAGCAAGAATTTTATTAGCCCAGAAATGGAAACAAGAGGAAATACCAACGATAGAAGAATGGAGAATGAAACTGACAGACTGTGCAGAGTTGGATAAGTTAAATGGGAAAAATAGATACTGTCGAGACCAAAAGTTCATCGAAGACTGGGGAAAATTTGTAGAATATCTGAAAAATATATGTGATGTGCAAACAACACTATCGGGGTTCCAAGAAGCACTGTGAAATTTGAGATGTATTGTTAAAAGAAATAGAAGCGGAAGGGGAAACTAATGGCAATACTAAACAGAAGAAATGCGTAATTGAGAGGTAAATATGGATGATTGGCAGAGAAGCTGAAGGAAGTCCAAAAAGAGATAATTTGTGAAAATTTGGATAAAATTGTATATTTGTGTTGAAAGTTAATAAAAATCATTTAAAAATACTAATAAATATCTCTGATGTTTCTCTAGGGTGACCCCATGCAAAGGACTGCAGCACTCTGTTCTGGCTCTAAGAGTATTCAGCTAGAGGAGGGGCTTTCAGCTGGGGCAGAATCAGGGCAGGTTCCCACTGCACTACAATTCTTCATCTTACCAATTTCTTTTTGCAGTTCATCATTTTTGTTGGCAATATACCGCATTTCCTCTGATTTGTTTAGCGCTACAGCGAGTATTCCAAAGTCTAAAAGAAATAGTTCAAGTCAAAAGAGTATCTGAAATAACAATCTGCAAATATTAAGAAACCATTTTCAAACATTTTTAAACACTCTAGCCTGAAACAAGAAGCAGAGCTCAAGGATCGGGTTCTTATGAATATGAGGACAGACTTGATTCTCTGTGGCTGAGATCACCAATGAAAAGCCTCAGAAGACCCCTGCAGCTGGATCAGACCAAAGACCCATGCAATCCACTATCCTATTCTCATATTAGAAGTGGCTCATGAAGTATCTCTAATGTTCCCTTCCTATGTCCTCCTTTTCTGCTGGGAATCACAGGGTCAGAAATTCCCACCTCGAGTCCCACAGTATAGCAAAATATACAAAGAATACTTTGCAGTTTTCTATTATGCTTGGTGAGATCTAAGAAAATAGAGGCACCAAAACGCTTTTTCTGATGAATACTGGGTTGCATTCCACATAATTCTAAGGAGGACATTATGTCAGTGCAGGAATTTCTCCTTGTGCAATGCAATCTTCCGCCCCTTTCCCTCCAATCTGTCCTGAAGTTTCCCCCACCCTGCAGAGCAGCTTTGGTGATGGCATGCAGGGAGAAGTGGGGGCAAAGTTCCCTTGTGCTAGTGCTAAATCTTGTGTCTCACCATGTTTGCTGCTAATATCGTTATGTACTTTTTGAACTTTGAATAAAGATGTTAAAAAAAAAAGAAAACAAACAACTGTCTGCTTTTCTTCCTGCTGAGGAATGAAATAGTGATAAACTCTGTTGGGTGGTGAGTTTCATTTCCTATATGTATCGCTCACACAATATGAAAGTGAATAAAAGGAATTGAAATATGTTTACATTAAAAATGTTCTAGCAAACATGAGGACGTGCATATGAAATGCTTACCATCCTTGTCCTCATAGAATGAATCAATCCCAACAACAAAGGTTCGAATCATGGTCATTGCCACTTGAAACTCCTCTCTGTTTTTCACTTCCTTCTGATCTAAGGAGGAGGTAGGTAGAAAAGAAATGAAGAAATTGTTTTCTAGCACCCTGGTCTGATGACCTGGGGGAGGGGATACTTGGTTTCAAACTGCTTTTAATATTGAATTTAAATTGCTGGCTTTTCATGTGCCCCAGGACCTTAGAGAGAAGGGTGAATAAAAAATCAAATCAACAAAAACATAAATATGATTTCTATTAATATTTTCTTCTCCCCACCCTTAAATTGATGTTTCCTATGCCTTGATTGCGGCTGCCCTGCTGGTCTGTTTTCATTTAGCCTGTTTTTCATTTCATTTCCTTTTAGCTAAATGTATTTCATTTAGTCTGTTTCATTTCAAGTCCTGTTTTCTTTAGCCTGTTGCTTCTGTAATCAGATGGTTTGGCCTTCCTTTGAGAGCTTTAGATTTTGGGGTGTCCAGATACCCCTGTCCTCTTTGTCCTGTGGACTTGCATTTGCCAGGCTGCCAAATGCCCTGCTGTAATGTAAATTCTTGGATCATTTGGTTTCCTCCCCCTGAGCTTTGCTTACTTTGAGTGCCCTTTAAAAATGAATTAGCTATGAAAATAGGCCATTTGTTCATCTATCCACTGCTATCCACTACTCTTTTTCTGATGAATACTCGGTTGCATTCCACATAATTCTAAGGAGGACATTATGTCAGTGCAGGAATTTCTCCTTGTGCAATGCAATCTTCCGCCCCTTTCCCTCCAATCTGTTCCCCACCCTGCAGAGCAGCTTTGGGAGAAGTGGGGGCAAAGTTCCCTTCTGCCAGTGCTAAAATCTTGCAGTAGCACAAACACTGTGAATTACAGTTTGATGGGGGAAGAACAGCATTTCTAGTGGGGGGATGTGAGAATCACAACCATCTGCTTTTCTTCCTGCTGAGCAATGAAACAGTGATAAACTATTGGGTGATGAGTTTCACTGAATATATGTATTGCTTACACAATATAAATCCCAAAGTGAACTACAGGAATTGACGCCTGTTTAAATTAATCAGGATCTAGCAAAAGTGAGGATGTGCATAAAAAAATGCTTACCATCCTTGTCTTCATGGATTGAATCAAGCCCAACAACAAAGGTCCGAATCATATCCATTGCCATTTGAACCTCCTCTCTAATTTTTGCTTCCTTTTGATCTAAGGAGGAGGTAGGTAGAAAAGAAATGATTAAAATGTCTGACTGTCTGGGGGACGGGATACTTGGTTTCAAACTGCTTTTAATATTGAATTTAAATTGCTGACTTGTAAGGCAGATAAGAAATCAAATCAACAAAACCATGACTATGACTTTTATTAATATTTTCTGAGCCCTTGATAGCGGCTCTCCTGCTGGTCTGAAGTCCTGTTTCCATTTAGCCTGTTGCTTCTGTCATCAGATGCTTTGGCCTTCCTTTGAGAGCTTTAGATTTTTGGGTGTCCAGATACCCTTGTCCTCTTTGTCCTGTGGACTTGCATTTGCCAGGCTGCCAAATGCCCTGCTGTATGCAAATTCTTAGATCATTTGGTTCCCTCCCCCTGAGCTTTGCTTACTTTGAGTGCCCTTTAAATATGAATTAGCTATGAATATAGGCCATTTGTTCATCTATCCAGTGCTATTTTTCTAAAAAAAAGAGGCACTGGAACTCAGCATGAATGACTCCCTGGTTCCCTTAGATTGGCAACGGAGCCCACCTGAGGGGGCCTGGAACTGATGAATTTCGGCTGAAAAAGGTCCTGCATATATCTCGATATTTAGGTAGGCTCTGGACCCACCCACTTTGGCCATGGCCTTATCCTCTGCAGCCTGTTTCCCACAAGCACTTTCCTTCAGGGGACTGGAGCCCTAGAAGAGGGCAGGGTGGCGAGGATCAGGAATGGGGGCTCTCCCTCAGCAAATGAGGATTAGTTGGGAAAGGAGCAGAGAATGGCAACTGGGAAAGGGAATTGCCCAGGGTGTCCCAGGGACTTGTGTTAGCCTGTGCTTCTGTTCCAAGTTCTGGAACTCACTTATAAACTGTAAGCAAAACAGTGCCATTGCTCTCAATGGGTGACAGCTGCAACTCCCTCCCTGAAATCAAAGAGGGATCAAAGGGATAAATGGAAGGTGGATCCTGCCATCACTTTTTGGAAGTGCTATTGGCATTGTTGGCATTGAAGGAACGCCCGTGACATTAGTTGCAAAGTATGCTAATTATGTACTTACATAGAATGTAAATCAGCAGTGTCATGACAGTAAGGATGAAAATCTCAAGTATGATCAATCTTTCACCCGTTGGAGATTGGAAGAAGGTAACCAAGTCCTGAAAAAGAGATGCTTGAAGAAAGACAATTCTACTTTAGCCATCAGTAGCCAACATACCATTCCCAGCCCAGGAAAAAGGGTTTCCATATGCTGTGGCAGCCATCAGCCAGAGATAGTCAATTGTTCAGGGGGTGGGCACTTGGGAGGATAAGCAGGTGGAGATGGCAAGGTGAGATGCCTTGCTGCTTGAGGAAACTTTTCTTACAATTGTCTGGATCAGAAGACAGGAGCCTTTGATATTACTTTCTCCCCCCCGACAAATGACAAGATGCTCCCTCTGTACACATAATTCCACATACAGAAACTTTACTGGGCTGGCCATTGGCTCTTATTTTGATACTGCTGATGAGACAGCAGAGTAACTGAGGAGGTGCAGTGCAGCTTGTGTGGTCTACCCATCTTACCCACCCCAGCACCTGCTACCTGCGACAACTGCCTCATTCTGCCTAATGGTAGAGCCATTCTGGACTCCATACAGTAAAGGATCACCACAGCCAGCAGCAAAGAGTGGGCTGAATCCTGGGGTTTCTATGGGGCTCCGTGGATCTCTGGCACCCAAAGAGCTGTGTGTGCTTTTCTCTGCACTCCTCCCTAGCAAAACCTGACTGGTTCCACTCCTTGCCTGTCTCTCCAACAACTTCCCTTCCCCATGCATTCCTCTACTTTATGAGAAACCTCATCCCATATGACTGTGCTGTATACCAGTTTCTTTTGCTCTTGCTTTACGCTTTCTGAGCGCCAGCTGTCTTCTGGACATTCCATATCTTCTGGACGCTGCACTCTTTGCAGGAATTAGCTTCCCCATCCTCTCAGTTTTGTCTGTGAAACAACAAGCTATTATAACATGGAGGATAAGACTATGAACACATTGGTTGGATGGTGGGTGTTTAACCTTCCAAACTCAGAGTATAAGTCTCTTGTCAAGCATCAAAGCTCACAGTATTCGCTTCTGTTGTCCTTCACTTAATCTCCCTATTACAGGAACATAAATTTTAAAGTAGATGCACGCCTACAAATGTAAAGGATTTTCTTGGTACAAAGTTGAAATGCACAACAACTTAAAGTAAAAAATGGGTCTCAAGGGGCATTTCCAATATTACACTTTGGTGTCTATCAGTATTAGACAATCCTTTCCTATAAAGACAAACGTCTTTCTTTTTCTTCTGCTGGATCAATCTCAGTTTTAAACCAAAAAGATGTTCCATATGGATTCCAAGGAATTTAAAAAATGTTTTAGGTAATATAGCACATTCTCATTTTGCATTCTATTTCTTTCAAAACTCCTGGACATCTAGTTTCTAGAAGTTCAGTAAGCATTTGCAAACAACAGTTATGGGTTTGATCCATATGTTCACTCTATATTTATTTTACGGGGTAAATCAAATTTGGGGCAATCTTCTTTGTGAATGAAATGGGTTGATCTGTACATCAGCTGATAAGATCAGATGGAGTGTTTTTGGTTCTGCTATTATTGCAGTTGAAATCTCGGTTACTGGTGTGTGCTAAAAAGAAATATCTTGCTTTGCAACATTCATTGGTGTTTATTTATAGGCTATCTGCTTATGTCAAGATTACTTACTGTGCCAAATTACCATGCCTAAAGGTCCAAATGCCTTTCAATTTTGTGTTTGTCCCTTCTGCAGCAGCAACTAGAGCTGTTTTCATCAAGATACCAGCCCTCAGGCTGAAAGTGGCTTCCCCATAATACATTGCCAAATGTTCACCATTTCATAGATCGTGTGGGATCTATGAGGTCTTCAGATGTTCCTGGGTGCCAACTCCCTCCATCACAGTCATCATGGTCAATGGTTGGGGATGACGGGAGTTGTAGACCAGTAACATCTGGAGGGCCACATGTTCCTCACCCTTTAAGGAAGGTATATACTTTTATTTATATAACTACCTCCTGATCGTCAGAAAAGATGGAGTACTAGATCCGGTCTCAGTTGGATGCATATAAATCCAATTGAGTCTATCAAGAAAAAAAGAAAGAAAGAAGAGGGCAGTTGTCTCATTCTGTTTTGAAGCTATCTGAGATAGTAGCCCTTGATATGCTAGTAAATTAGTTTTTCAAAGATTTGTATTTTCTGGATCATGAACTAGATCTGGATTTACAAACTGGGCCCATGAATCAGAGCACGGCACCTGTATTGCCAGGGAATAAAACAGAATGTGGTGCTCCTGGTTTGCAATGTAGCTGGAGCTTTAATATAAGGAACATGGCTGTTGGAGAAGAAGTGAAAGGAACTTCATGGCTTGGCCAGCTATCAAACACCTGACTGCATGGGGGATGGATTGAGGAATCTTCGGTTGGGGAGACATGAAGAACTAAACCTATTCTATCTGTATTATGACTATTGTTGCCTAAGATCTTTTGCATTATTATTATTATTATTATTATTATTATTATTATTATTATTATTATTTATACCCCTCCCATCTGGCTGGGTTTCCCCAGCCACTCTGGACGGCTTCCAACAAAAGATTAAAAATACATTAAAACATCAGTCATTATAAACTTCCCTAAACAGGGCTGCCTGCTTATAGATTACATTATTGGCTTTACAGCTTATTCCAGTTGCTGTTGGTTTTCTGTTAGACTCTATTCTACGTTGCTGATCAATTTCTTTGCTAATGTTTACCAATTAATAAAAGTTTGTCTCTACTTAAGAGTCTCCGTTCAGTGGAATCCAAAGAACCTCTTGCTTGTCTGATGGTTGCTTTTGGCCAAACACCCAGTAATACAGTGATACAACTGGTAATACAGCACCTGTACACAGCCCTCAAATGTTCCACCACTCTGTTTCACTGGATGACCCTGAGGTCTAGTATTTAAAAGAGTAAGACCACTTGTAGTTTATAAAAGCTCCTCATTTAGCCTCTTAGTGACCTTTAGGCCCTGGAATGAGACCCTGCAAATATCATAGCTTGTAAGGAAAGTGTTCCACCCATCAGACTTATTTCTGTTTGGATACCTTGATGTTGTCATGGAACAATCTTTTCTCTAATTTCTACTTAAGGTTGTTTCATCCTCCCGCTGGCTAAGAACCACCTCCCTTGTGATGTCAGGCATTCCAGAACTCCTCCCATTTAGGCTATACCATTTCCTGATTGGCTGCTGATCATATCCAATCAGCATTCCACATAAAGCATAAACCCAGGAAAATTTTGGTTTCAGATTTGTTATATTACTTATTTTTTCAAAAGTTATTAGTTTTATTTTTTTATTTAGGCCGGGTACATACTTTACCTTCAAAGCATATCCCCAGAAGAATCCTTACTCTTCATAAACTCTGCTAGTAGTATTGGAAAGCTTCCTTTCTCAACACTTGTACCAGGAAATATGGCAAAGTGCATTAGTGTAAATCTTCATTTGCAAAGTTAAAGCAGAAAGACAAGGAACAGAAGCAATTAAATTTCAACATGTTTGGTCTACATTTAATGAATGTATCATCATCAAAACATACATGCCACCAGTGCTATTTTTCCACACTGAAAAGGTACTGGAACCTACCATGAACACCTCCCTTGCTCTCTTATGATGGTGTCCACCTGAGAGGTGTCAGAACTGAGTTCAAGTGAGTTCCAGATGCAAAAAAGCCCTGCATGCAGCTGACCTTCAACCAATGGCAACTCATAGAGAACTGTACTTGGAAAGAAAGATAGATCTGCGCAAACTCTGAATTGGACTCTGATAAGCTTCACATGCTAGAAACCCCTCATAACTATGTACCCTTATTCCTGTTATTGCTCATTATGTTTTTGTATGTTTATATGTCACTACCAATAAAAATATTGTTCAAAAATGATTTCTGTCATTCATATCCTGCCCTTCTGTATAAAGATACAAGAATCATATAACACTGGTCCTATCTCCAGTGGCTCCCAGTACATTTCTGAGCAAAATTCAAAATGTTGGTGCTGACCTTTAATCCTCTAAATGGCCTCAGCCCTGGATACCTGAAGGAGCATCTCCACCCCCATAGTCCAGCCTGGACACTGAAGTCCAGCTCCAAGGGCCTTCTTCTGGCTCCCTCACTATGAGAAGTGAGGTTGCAGCGAATCAGGCAGAGGGAAGGTGGCAGTAGTGAATATGACTTCAAAAAATGTTAATCTATTTAAAGATAATTATGAGAAGTGTTGGTCAGAAGTGAAAAAAGATCTTGAAATTTGGACAAACTTGAAGCTTTCCTTATTGGGTAGAATTGCGGTTATCAAAATGAATGTATTGCCAAGAATGTTATTTTTGTTTCAGACGTTACAAATCATTGACAAGATGGACTGTTTCAAGAAGTGGCAAAAAGAAATTTCTAGATTTGTCTGGCAGGGCAAAAAGCCCAGAATAAAATACAAAATCCTTACTGATACTAAGAATAGAGGGGGGTTTGCCCTGCCGGACTTTAAGTTATATTATGAAGCAGCAGCTTTTTGCTGGCTGAAGGAATGGCTACTTCTTGAGAACACCGACATTTTGGATTTAGAGGGTTTTATTTTTTTAAAAAATAAATTTTTATTGATTTTCCAAACACATAATAAAAACAAACAATACACAAAACAAAAACATACAAACATATAAACATGTATAATTTCATAATCTTATTTTCATGCACCTTACTTCCCGGACTTCCCCATACCTCCCCTTTTCTGCATCCTTGTTTTACATTTCTTTAGCAACTCCTCCAATTAACTAATTATTTAATTTACTTTCATTAGATTTTTTTTTCTTTAACTTGTTGATTACAGCTGCAATTCTCTATTTCTTAGTTCCTTAACATCTTAACACTCCTCAATTTTACAGCAATTTTTAAGATATATTTTAAATTTCTTCCAGTCTTCTTCCACTGTCTCTTTCCCCTGGTCACGGATTCTGCCCGTCATCTCTGCCAGTCCCATATAGTCAATCACCTTCGTCTGCCATTCTTCCAGAGTGGGTAGTTCTTGTGTGGATTTAGAGGGTTTTAATAATGCTTTTGGGTGGCATGCATATCTGTGGTATGATAAGGTTAAAGCTCATAAAGGTTTTAAAAATCATATTGTCAGGAAAGCATTATTTAATGCCTGGACTAGGTACAAAGATTTGTTGGAAAGTAAGACTCCTAGGTGGTTGTCGCCAATGGAGGCTAAAGCCGTGAAAAAGCTCAATATGGAATCTAAATGGCCGAGATATTCGGAAATTTTGGAACAAGAAGGGGACAGGTTGAAATTGCAGAGTTATGAGAAACTTAAAAATAAGGTGCAGGATTGGTTACATTACTTTCAAGTAAGAGAGGCCTATAATTTGGACAGGAAAAATGGCTTCCAGGTGGAAAAATCAAAGTTGGAAACAGAACTGTTAGAACCCAATGCTAAGATATTGTCAAGAATGTATGATTTGTTGTTGAAATGGAATACTGAGGATGAAACGGTTAAATCGGCTATGATAAAATGGGCACAAGACATTGGTCATAATATTATGTTTGCTGACTGGGAACGGTTGTGGACCACCGGTATGAAATTTACGGCATGTAATGCCTTAAGAGAAAATATTATGAAAATGATTTATAGGTGGTACATGACACCAGTCAAGCTTGCAAAAATTTATCATTTGCCTGATAATAAGTGTTGGAAATGTAAAGAAACTGAAGGAACATTCTTTCACCTTTGGTGGACGTGCCCAAGGATTAAGGCGTTCTGGGAAATGATCTATAATGAACTGAAAAAGGTATTTAAGTATACTTTTCTGAAGAAACCAGAGGCCTTTCTCCTGGGCATAGTCGGCCAATTGGTGCCAAAGAAGGATAGAACCTTATTCATGTATGCTACAGCAGCAGCAAGAATACTTATTGCAAAGCATTGGAAGACGCAAGATCTACCCACCTTGGAAGAATGGCAGATGCAAGTAATAGACTATATGGAACTGGCAGAAATGACCGGCAGAATCCGAGATCAAGGAGAGGAGCAGGTGGAAGAGGACTGGAAGAAGTTTAAAGTATATCTACAAAAATACTGTAAAATTTATGAATGCTGAGGGCTCTGAAAACGAAATGAAGGGGTTTCTAGCGATTAAGATAAATAAGACTATAAAGGGAGGGATAAAGGTTTAAAATAAACAATGAATGATCTTGCTGAACTAATTTTTAAAGTAGAATACAAGAAGGGAAGGCGGGTGGAAGTAAAGAGAATAAGGTTTTGAAAGTTACCAATATGAAAGAGTGTTCTTTTTTATGCTAAATTTTTTCTTTTGCATTTTTCTTTTTTCTGTTTTTCTGTTTGGATTTTTGATGTTTGTTGTCTGTTTTTTGTGATTTTTGTTGACTTTTGTTGGTTGTTAATTTTTTGAAAAAATCCTAATAAAATATTATTAAAAAAAACACCAAAATGTTGGTGCTGACCTTTAATCCTCTAAATGGCCTCAGCCCTGGATACCTGAAGGAGCATCTCCACCTCCATAGTCCAGCCTGGACACTGAAGTCCAGCTCCAAGGGCCTTCTTCTGGCTCCCTCACTATGAGAAGTGAGGTTGCAGCGAATCAGGCAGAGGGAAGGTGGCAGTAGCACCTTCCCTGTGGAACACCCTTCCATCAGATGTCAAGGAGATTAAGAACTACACAACTTTTAGAAGACATCTGAAGGCAGCCCTGTATCGGGAAGTTTTTAACACCAGAAGCAGAGAGACCAGTAGATTCAGAGGCTGCTCAATTGGGGGAAGAGCTGGACATTTTTGAGATAGTAGCTAGGCAACCAGGAGGGAGGGAGCCTTTAGGAGATTCTTCATTTGAGTGTGGCAGGGAAGTCCTCCCCTCCCCTAGAACTTGGATGACTGAAAGGGTCCAGGGACAACAGAAGCACTGAGGAAGGACAGGTGGCTGGTGGCACACTTCTTGCTATGGAAGAGAAGGGGACTCAGAGTGAGCAACTGCCATCTGTGGGAAGGGCGGCTTGATGCTGTGCTCAGTATGTTGTTGTAAATAAAACGGACTATAAACCTGCCAAAGGCTTCTTATTGGAAGCTACCGGAGGGAGAGGGAAACTCCCTTGCCAGCCAGTGTACTTGACATCCCCTGAAACAGCCTTGGCTATTTTGCCTCCCCTATTGGGCACTGGTAAAAGCATCTGGTACAGATAAAGAGCTCCCTTAACTGCCTCGCTTGCAATTGCTGGGAAATGTAGGAGGGTGGCAACATGAAATAAAAGATTGCAGCTGGTTGTGCTTCTGCCTGTGCTAGGTTCCCAGGTCTGCTCTAAGGGATCCAGTAGAGAGAGACAGCTCTGGCAGGGTTGTGGGACGGGGCGCAATGGACTTGCCTTGCACATGCACATTCTCTGGCTGGGAAGGAAAGCTCCCAGACACACTGCTTCCTGGGACGCAGGTGTTCTATGTCACACTCCTAGAATGGCAGTTCCCAAGCGCAAATATGCTCCTTTGGGGCTTGTCTTGGTACCAAAGAAAAAAAAGAAAACCCAACGGAAATTTTGGCAAATTCTAAAAATCCTCGAGGATGGGGATGTAGGCCCCGAAAAAGAGGACATGTCTGAGAAAACCAGGATGTATGGCAACCCTATTACAGGGTGGAGCCCAAGTCTATGTTCAAAGATAGGAGGGCTAAGGCAGGATTTGGAGAAAGAAGTAACACCCTCTATAGAAGTGCCTTTGTCTTTCTGGATGGTTTATTTCATGTATACATTAAAAACAATTCTATTATATGAATATCTTTCTCTCTCTTTTTTTTAGGTTTTCACATAATACATCTTAGGAACACCATATGTTTACTATTCTCATTTTTCTGTGGCTTCCCATATCGCATGATAAGATTTTATACTACCACTCTCTGAAATGCCCATTTGTTTCTAACATTACACAATGTATAAAATATAAACCTGAAGACTTCCAGTCTGCAACGATAGAAAGGGAAATATGGCTCAAAGCGAATCAGCTGCTTGGGGGGGGAGTTTGGGGGCAGCACCCCAAAGAAGGTCAACCAGGACATCGAGGGTTCCTGCAGCGATCAAAAGCAAGCTCCCAATGGTTCTGCACAGTCCCATTTGATGATGTCTGGGCTCAGT